CCTCACTGAATTGAGCAATTTCAATTCCAAAGGAACTTTCGTGCTGCACATTAAGCAATTAAGCTTAATTAAGCCTCAACACTTAATCAACCATATTAAGCATAATCAAGCTTAGTTTCAGGTACAACAAATCAAAAGTTCAACTAGCTTAATTTGACGTCCCAACAATTTGTCTCAGAATATATTTCATACTAGTATAATTTGGAATTTTTGATCAAGTTAATTATAACACAATCAACAAGAACAAATCAACCAAATTTTCCGACTAGTTGAATCAAGCTTATATAATCGTTCTCAGAATATTAATTAAAATATTCAACACTTGCTGTGACGCTCACGATTATATAGCTATCCCAATTTTTGACAAATTGATCCTTGAAATCCTTATCATTCTACATGAACCAGAACCGAAGTCCTTTGTCAGCTCGACTTACCACCTCGCAGAAAAAAATATGCCAGTGTCCAATGAAAGAGTGTGGAGAGATATCTGGAAATTGAAGGTGCCGAATAGAGTCCGTACCTTCCTTTGGTTAGCGAAGCATGATAGATTAATGACCAATATCAATAGAGAAAGAAGAGGATTTATATTACAAGCGACACTTCGTGCAAGACTTTTCAGAATATTCCTGAGGATATGGATCACATTCTTTGCAAATGCCCACTAGCAAGAAGGGTGTGGGAGGCACTACTTCCCTAGTCTCACGCGAGATATGCGAACTACGATGATGCAGATTGGCTGAGTGCGGGAGTAAGAGGCTTTGATGATAGCAATCGTAAGCATAAATAGTGTATCACCTTTGCAGTCACAACCTGCTGGCTTTGGAGGTGGAGGAATGACAATGTGTTCACAGACACCATGACTGAGTTACCCTCAAGGATTTATCTAATCAATGAGCAAGTTAGAGAGATCAATGAAGCCTTTGCTAAAGCAAATGAGCCAGGCATGTTTCAAACCAATCATCCATGGAGTCAGATCAAGTGGATCAAGCAAAAAAAAAAGTTGGGTTAAAATTAACCTGGATGGGAGCCATGACCAAACCACTGGCATGGCTAGCTGTAGCGGAATTTTAAGGGATGAGAATGGCTTATGGCGCTGTGGGTTTATTCATAACATTGGGAAATGCTCGCCTAAAGGTGCTAAGGCTTGGGCTTTATTGAAAGGAATACAGTTGATTCGTTCCCTTAATCTCAATTACGTCCAGATCGAAACTGACTCCATGGATATAACAGAGGGCATTCACAAAGGTAAAATGTTTGGAAATGTTGTAGATAACCTACTTATGGCATGTAAATGAGAGGCAAGTGGAATTATCAACTAGGAGCTAAACTTTATAGCTTGTGAACAGAATCGCGCTGCAGATTTGCTTGTATCGAAGGCAGGGGCATTTGGAAAAGGAACACATATATTTCAAACTCCCCTCCCTGATTTATTAGAAACTTTAGATGATGATATTTTAGGTGTCCCTACGTGTCGCCAATGGTAGTTGTATACTCCCGGGTTTCCTCCTTCCATTTGATCCAAAAAATATTAAGAATGGTGGGTAGCATTACCATTGCCATGTTGAATGTAATATATATAGGCGTGTTTGGTAAAAAATGGTTAGCTTTTCAGTCAATTTTTGACTTATTTGACCACTATTAATTGTTTGACTTGGTTAAAAAATCAATATAAGTGTTTGCATGGACGGAGCCAAAGGGGGGGCGGGGGGGCAGGGGGGACAGTTGCCCCCCCCCCCCTCACCCCACCCTCGCCCCATATATAATAGTTGTATGTATATATGTGTATATAGTACAAGTTTTAGTATTAGTATAAAGTAACAGATAAATGTTAATAAGAACTGAGATAGATTAGTTGGCAGAGCATATGTTTGGTTATAGTGAAGATTTAGAGTTTGAATCTTTTGTTGGCATGATCACAATTTTACAATTTATCTTGGCTTCAACACAATCACATTGTTAATAACTTTTTAAATATTTAATAAAATACACACACACACACACACACACACACACACACACACACACACACAACATTCTTTTATATTAAAAATGAGATGTGTAATTTATAATGTGTTCTCTATTCAAATTATTTTATCAAATTAATTATGTTTCATATTTTGTTATGAATATTTTTAATAAAATTTCTATGTGTTTTATTTTTTGACCATATTCAATAATATTTATACCTATATTTTATGGGTAATTTATTTTTTTTTGAAAAATTATCTATTTTGTTTTAATGTTTCGCCTTCACTCGAAAAAATTGATGGATCCGTTGCTGCTTCTTCGCCCCCTCTCAACAAAATTCATGGCTCCGTCCCTGACTGTTTGGTTAATTAGCTTTTTGTAACTTCAAAATTGTAAAATTCAAAAAGCTGCTCAAAACAACTTTTTCAATTACCTTTTTGAGAAAAGGAATTATACAAAAAAGGTATAAGCTAACAGCTAATTTACCAAACACCTTTCTACAATCAACTAATGTCATCAACTGGTTATACCCAGTGGCGGACCCATGATTTTTTGTCAGTGGGGGCGGAACATTACAACGAAAAATATAATTTGAAAAAAAAAAAGAAGATGAAACGCTTAAAAAAAATATAATCATAAATATTTTTAGATATGAGTAAAAAATAAAACATATCAAAACTTTATAAAAATATTCACAATAAAATATGAAACATAATTAATTTGATAAAATAACTAGAATAGAAAATGCATTATAAATTACACATCTCAGGACTAACTATTAATAATAGTAAAAAGTTATAAAACCAATATTTGTACACTTGACTTTACCAAAGGCCTAATATGCACCATGCCAACTAAACCAAATCAACACTTATTAAAATTTTTGTGTTTTATTATACTTATACTTAAAACCTGTTCTATATATACATATATACATACAAGGATAATATAAGGGTGGGGGTGGGGGAAGTGGGGGCAGCTGCCCCCATGCTGGGTCCGCCCCTAGTTATACCCCATAATTAATTCAATCAGCTAATAGTTATCAGCTATCAGCTAACAACCATTTACCAAACAGAGTCATATAAATAATAAACGTGTTGTTTAACAATCCGTTTAAATTTTAATTAAAATGAAACACATCTTTCAATTTCATATTACAGTTAGAATCATGCATGCATGAGAATTTTTTAATTAAAATGAAACACATTATTCGATTTGATATTAGAGTCAAACTCTTACTAAAGCTAAGGTTATGGGGTTGATGATGTGAAATCTAATTATTAGGTTAAGGTATTCACATACACATTCTGTCATACATCAAATTATTACTGATATTACATCCTTGTGCACAGTGAGCAAATGTCTAGCCTCTGTGGTTCATGTTCAGTTGAGTTACCATGATTTACATCCTCCCAAATGCTCTGTCGGGTCGGAGTGTGGGAGCCCTTAGGGTTAGGGTTCAACCTTTTGGAGGAATTATTACTGATATTATATTCATAGATTAAATTGAAAATATGTACAAAAGTAGTATTGTATTGTTTATATCCTTATATTACAATGTTAGCCATAGCATACATATATGTACATAAAAATTGAGACATCTTAATGAAAAAGTAGAGAAAAGGTATTACTTTCCCTATTTTGCCCATACAAATTTGATGACTCTTTGTCTGATCTTTCTAATCTTTCAAACAGTGATATAGGGAAAAAGCATATATGTTATAGCATAGGTTTATTTTAGTTTAGAAAAATGGACAAGTACGATGGCAAAAGTATCTTATATATAACTATAAGTATAAAGAATTTTTGTAATATCAATAACGTCATATGCTTGATAAAATTGTATCAAGTACAGAGCATATTCATAACATTATTAAGTGGATTATCATAACAATGTCGTTTGTGCTAATGTGTAAAGGACGTGATGGATTCGATCAAGAATATGTATAATATAAAAAAGTGGGTACAATTTGCATTGTCATTAAATTATACTCTAATTGTTTTGATATATTAAATTTCTACCTTACACCAGATTAATGCTAGGTCCCTAGAATTCATGCATGTCCAAGAGTATTATACTGTAACTTTAATAGTACGTGATTTATTAGGTTTGTTATTCATTGTTCAAAAATAGTGGTAAAGAGTAGGTGTTTAGGAGTTTATTGTTTTGGGAGTTGATAAAATAAGAGAAATTCATTGAGTACTAAAATATTCTTATACTCCATCCGTTTTGTTTTATGCATGTGCTTGATTTGATTAACAAAGTTTGACTTGAATTTATTTTTAATTCAGTTTTTCATTTAAGTTTAATATTAATATATAAAATTTATATATTTAGAAACAGGGCCGGATTTTAGGCTGTGCAAGCTGGGCTACCGCACAGGGCCCCCAATTTTAGAGGGGCCCCAAATTTTAGAGGTTCAATATTTAATTTTTACCTAGCTAGTTTAAAAATAAAAATTAAAAAGTTTTCAATTAAACTTTAAAGGTTTCATGAAGAGATGGTAAGAATGTGTATTTATTGTATTTTAACTTGGAGGTCAAAGGTTCGAAACTTGCATGTATTAGTTTTAAAAATTATGATTTTGGTAGGGCCACATTTATTTACTAGAACAGGGCCACCAAAACTTAAAATACGGCCCTGTTTAGAAACTAAATTTAAAATATTATTAAACAAAAATAAAATCAAATAAAAAAAATAAAAAATACTAAAGAAAAAGTTAATGAATTAAGACATGTAAAATAAGACAGATAGAATAATAATAATTATGAAGATCATCCGATCCAGAGCTTCTCGTACTTGGAAAATCATAGAGTGATGATGAAAACAATTATATTAATCTTTGGATTAGCGTAGCGTTGCTGAGATGAGAATTGAAAATTGGTAATTATTTAAATTATATTATTTTGGGATAAAAATAAGCAATATATAATAGATAAAACCAAAGCGTGACGTTGACCACAATTATATTAAATATTAATTAGTATATTGTGTTTGTACGTATGCAAAGCCTAATAATGAATTAGTTTTATTATTTTTGGGGGGATAATTTCTCATCATCACATCTGAAAATGAAAATGGCTTTAAACTTTGAAAACAAGAGCAAATTAAAGAGGGCTCCATAACCACATGGACTCAAGTCTTTTCCCTTCAAAAGCCACAAATCATTTCTCATCCCAATTGAAACCCAATTCCAATGCTCATCATAACGAGGTGGTGATAGTACGTAGATATGCAAAGCAACGTTAGCCGGTCGCCGCCGTTGGATCCGACGGCGGCGGAGGGCTCCGCCGACAGGGACGGCGGGAAGTGGGCGGAGCGGCTCCTGAGGGAATGCGCGGGCGCGATTTCAGAGAAAGATTCCGCCAAGATCCACCAGCTGCTGTGGATGCTGAACGAGCTGGCGTCGCCCTACGGGGACTGCGACCAGAAACTCGCCGCGCATTTCTTGCAAGCCTTGTTTTGCAAGGCAACTGAAACCGGGCCCAAGTGCTACAAAACCCTCCTCTCCGTCTCCGAGAAGAGCCACAGCTTTGATTCCGCCCGGAAACTGATCCTCAAGTTCCAAGAGGTGAGCCCCTGGACCACTTTCGGTCACGTCGCCTCCAACGGCGCCATCTTGGAGGCCTTGGACGGCGAAACCAAGCTTCACATAATCGACATTAGCAACACCTTTTGCACCCAATGGCCTACCTTGCTCGAAGCCCTCGCCACGCGGAACGACGAGACACCGCACCTTAAGCTCACGGTGGTGGTCACGGCCGCCACGGTGGTTAAGTCGTTCATGAAGGAAATAGCGCAGAGGATGGAGAAATTCGCGAGGCTGATGGGCGTGCCGTTCGAGTTCAACGTCGTGAGCGGGCTAACCCACCTAGGAGAGATCACCAAAGACGTCTTAAACGTGCGAGACGACGAATCCGTGGCGATCAATTGCATCGGCGCACTGAGACGAGTGGCGGTGGAGGAAAGGGGCGAGATTCTCCGCACCTTCCGATCCCTCCGCCCCAAAGTGGTCACCGTCGTGGAGGAAGACGCGGATTTCACCCACAACAGAGACGATTTCGTCAAGTGCTTCGAGGAGTGCCTCAGATTCTACACGCTCTACTTGGAGATGCTGGCGGAGAGCTTCCCAGCAACCAGCAACGAGAGGTTGATGCTGGAGAGAGAGTGCTCGAGGAGCATACTTAGGGTTTTGGGCTGCGACGAACAGATCAGCGACGGAGACTCCGAGAACCGAGAGAGAGGAATCCAGTGGTCGGAGAAGCTCCGGGACGCCGGCTTCTCGCCTTTTACCCTCAACGACGACGCAGTTGACGACGTTAAGGCCTTGCTGAAAAGGTACAAAGGCGGATGGGCACTTCAACAACAAGCCGCCGGGGAAGACAATACAACCTCATCATCATCAACATCAGGAATATACTTGACATGGAAAGATGAGCCAGTAGTATGGGCTTCAGCTTGGAAGCCCTAGAATTATATATATATATATACTTCAATTCACTTCTCTGAATCTCAGAATTGAAAACCCAGATATATATTATATGAATTATGATATGAATACTTGGAGTTTGTGATGGTTATTTATATTTGGAGTGTGTGCATGTATGTTTTTTGTTTTGTTTTTAGTTTTCCAAGACTATCTTCTTGATCATGATATTCATGATGATAAGCATACTGTAGTGAGTACTACTACTTTTCCTTTTCTTTTTCTTTCCTTTCCTTTCAGATCCAACATTACTTGAAGCCTTATACTTGGGAGTTTGTGATAACTTTCTTTTGCTTTATTTTATTTTGCATCTTTTCAATTCTTTGTTTGAAAGTGTTTGCACTTGTGTTTGCTTTTATTTTGGATATAATATTCCTTTCTTTAGCTTCTCCACATTTAATTTCCCATCTCTCCATTGCTCACTTTAATTCTTCTCCACAATCCAAACTACTATTCCATCATTTCATCTCTCGCTCTCTCTCAATCTCCCTTTCAAAACTATTATTCCATCATTTTATAATTAATAAAACTTTTAAGAGCAGAGTTCATTATATAATTATTGCAAACTTAAGAGCAGAGTTTATTATATAATTATTGCAAAGTAACTTAAAATTTAATAACAATAAATTTTTATACGGAAATGTGTTCTTACCTGAACTCACACATATATAAAGTACACCAATTTTGTATTTATCCTATTTATTGGAATTATAATGTTTAATTATTATATATAATCTTGAACCAAGATTATTTTAATTAAGATCATCATCAACCATATGGGCTCAATCTTTTGTTTTGATTAACTATTATATTATGATACAATGCAATCTCGTATTAAATAGGTACCACTCCAAGTGGGTGGTGATCCCAAAGAATGAGTGTATCTAATTATGGTAATTATCTTCCACTCTTACTATTCTTATTGAAATCACTGACGCTCCTCTTTTCATTGGAATTCAATGGAAAAGATAACATGAAAGCTACATTATTAATCAACTCCTAAAGTATTTGACTAAATTGTTGAACAATTTGTCTGCACAATTGTTTTAATACTGCCTCCGCTGAGGCTTAGCCAATGACCTCCTATTTGGAAGACTCACTTTGTATCCCTAGACCACAAGATCATTAACGTGTATTTTATTATTTATATATTTAACTATTTGTTTGTAAAAAATTAATTATAATGTTTTGCCAAGAAATTCTTTGTCCTTAGCTCCTAATTCAATTGGCCTTTTAAGTAGTGATTTTTGCAACTTCTAAACAAATATACATGAAAAACTTAATAAATCAATTTTAAATTTGCGGTATTATTTGTTTCTTCTTTCATCCATTTCGTGTGTCCGTCCAGTTAAAGATAACGAACATAACTTATTTGTAATTCATTTTCAATTATTTGATATTGTACTAGCTAGTAAATAACTTTTGTTATTAAAAACAAAAAGTCAAATTTTAAAATTATAAGAAATTTTTTTTAAAAAAAAATTTAACATAAATATTATTTGACCATGAAATAGTAACTATGATAGTAAAATACGATATAGGTCGGCAAATTCCTAATGACTTCTAATATAGTATTTATTGTATTAGGAATATTTAATGGCTAAATAAGAATTAAATAATTCAATTATGTACTCAAAAAAATAAGAGTAAATTCCATTTTTGGTCCTACTGTTATAGGGGTCATTCCAATTTTAGTCCACCATAATTATTTTTGTCAAATTGCGTCCACAATTATTAAAAGTGTTCCAATTTTAGTCCACGAAAAATCTTAAAATGGACTAAAATTGGAACACTTTTAATAATAGTGGACGCAATGTGGCAAAAATAATTATGGTGAACTAAAATTGAAAAATTCCCTATAACAATAGGACCAAAAATGGAATTCACTCGAAAAATAATTCAATTATAAATCAAACAATTTGTATGAAATACAAATGAATCGGAAAAAAAATATAATGTTACATTTTATTCGTAAAATTACCGTTTAATGACCATTATCTAGGTAGGTCAAAGTACTCGTGAACTCCTTATTAATTTTTATATGTACCTTACTTTTATTCAATTTGCTATTTGTACTTAAAATATAATTATTCATGATAGATACCCCAATTGGCCTGGGCACTCAGCCTGGAGCGTGGAGGGAAGTCGATCTTGATTGCCTGTGACATTTAGTAGTTCAAGGGAAGAGGCCACCTTCACAAGCAACGATAGCACGAGCACCCGAGCGACCAGGCTCCACATACAACGTGTCCCCGTCCGGGTTCCTAACTGGCCCGGATGGGCGATCAGGCTGGGTAGCTGGAGTGTCCTCGACCGACTTCATAGTGGAATGTTCTGCGCTGACCAACGATTCTCAGCCAGTTGATATACTTGGCGAAGCCGATTGATGGGAGATACATACAGATGGGGCCACCAGCAGTCGGCACTGTGGAAGCAACGTGATGATCACGACTCTTGAAGGGTTTCACCTATATTATGCATTGCAGTACCAGTTTCGGACCTCGAACAACGAGGCAGAGTATGAGCCTGTCATCGGCGAGCTTTGTCAAGTCCGGGCGCTCAAAGCTACCCGAGTACGGATCGAGACTACTTATCGCTTGGTGGTCAGTCAGCTGAAAGCCGAGTGCGAGACCATAGAGGAAAGACTGAAGCTATACAAAGACGTGACCGAGGGGCTCCTGGACAAATTGACGGTCTTTGAAATTATCTACCTTCCCTGAGTAGAGAATGCGGAGGCTAACATTCTATCGAAATTGGTGCAGGGAGGTGTGCCCGAACATCTCTCGATGGCTTGTCGGACTGAGATCATGGAAAGGTCGAGTACTGAAACACTGTTCGTTTGAGCGGTTATTCGAATGCCTACCCCCCATCCAGATCCCAAAGCCCAGCCCGAGTGGTTTTTGATCGCGAATATCATAACGTAAAAGCAGGATTCCGAGCTGCCTGACAAGAAAGAAGACGCCGACCACGTGCATAGAAGGGCCCCCTCCTACGAGATAATGGATGGCCAATTATATAAACGATCTTTCAGAGGACCACTATTGCGTTACTTGCTCCCCAATGAGGCAAAGATCTTCATGATGTAGGCTCATCGAGGGATTGTGCAGCGCACCAAGGCGCTAACACGTTGGCCCGAAAACTTATTATTCAAGGGTACTACTGATCGACTATAGTGAAAGATTGCGCGGAGGAAGTAATGAAATGCCCGACCTGCCAGTCATTTGCCAAAAGGGATACCCGACCAGCCACCTTTTACACGCCGATCACGACAGCAATTCACTTTGCCTAGTGGGGAGTCGATTTTCTTGGGTCACTACCGCAAACTCCCGTGCGTGTGCAATTTTGCATAGCAGCTGTGGATTATTTCACCAAGTGGGTCGAAGTGGAACCATTAGCCACCATCACGGAGTATCAATGTCGACGATTTATATAGAATAACACCGTATGTAGATTCGGACTACTTGAGCACCTGGTCACGGGCAATGGAAGGCAGTTCGACAATCGAGCATTCGCGACGTTTTGCGTCTAGCAAGGGATTCAGCACATTAAAGTGTTCGTGGCCTACCTACAGGCAAACGAGCAAGTGAAGAATCTAAACCGCACCCTCTTGGACGGTTTGAGAAAGAGGTTGGAGGAGTTAGGGGGAACTTGGGTTAAGCAGCTAGAGAAACTGTTATGGGCATACCAGACGACTCCCCAAAGAGCGACTGCGGAAACCCCCCTCTCGCTAGCATACGCGTTTGAGGCTAAGGTCCCGACCGAGATCCAAGTGCCTAGTCGGCGTATACTATTATACAATGACGAAGGAAACGAGGAAACATTGCAGGTTAAGAAGAATTTCTTGGAAGAAAGAAGGGATGCAGCTTATGGACGAATGGCCGAGTAGCAACAAGTGGTCAAGTGGTATTAGGACAAAGGGTCGTGCATCCGGTATCATTAGGTAGGCGACCTGATCCTGCGGAATCGAGAGGCTAGACGGCTGACCGAAGGGGGAAAATGGAAATAAAATGGGAAAGGCCTAACAAAATAACAGAAGAAGTCTACCTGGGGACCTACAGGCTGGAAACCACAGAGGGTGAGCCCGTGGAACGCTCACTATTTAAATATGTTTTACTAGTAGTTAGTCAATTCTGATTCTTTTAAACGAATCTTTGTATGTCCCTAGCGGTTAAAACACTACTAGTTCGCTGGTTATTTAGTCGTCTAGCTAGCAATAAAGTTTGGGTTAGTTCGTTGTAGTGTTGTTTGTACCCAACTGATCGTCACCCCTCCCCGCAAGGACGGCTAACTGTGCCTTTTCAAGCATGAAGTTTGGGTATGCGACCACGCTGCGAACATGTTAGGAGAATTTGTCATCCCTCACCATGAGGACAACTGATTGTGCCATTTTAGGCAACCTTTTCAGGCATGAAGTTTGAGTATGCGGCCATGCCGCGAACATGTTTGGAGAATTTGTCACCCCTCCCCACGAGGACGTACGGTTGGCTGAACCTTTTCAGGCATGAAGTTTGGGTATGTGGCGATGCCGCGAACAGGTTAGGAGAATTCGTCACCCCTCTCCGCGAGGACGGCGGACTGCGCCTTTTCAGGCGACCTCTTCAAACACGGAGTCGGGGTGGGCAGCTACGCCGTATGCAAGTTTTCGGAGTTTGTTTTGTCTCTCGGGGGCTCCTAAGCAGTCAACGTCGCCCACTGAGAGACTTGGCTGTTTTCGGAGTTTGGTTTGTCTCTCGGAGGCTCGTAGACAGTTAGCCTCGCCCGCTGAGGGGAGGGGGGGGGGGGGGGAGTGGATGTAACACCCCACTTTTCTTAAACCTTATTAACAAGACTTAACTTAAAAGGGAAACTAATCAAGCAAGTAAATAGCATTAAAAGCTTAATAATCAAACTTCAAGAGGTGTCACCGCCACAATTACCATTCACGGTGATTGCACAGGCAAGAAAAAGATCTAAACAAAGTCAAGCATAACTAACTTTAATCAAACTTGGGGAATAAAACCCCGGTGTTCGATCAACACCATCAAAACATCTAAATAGATCTAAAACCGAGTCTCACCAATCATAACTGAATAGAGTTTAGACTACAACTAGCACTCTAAGCTAAGATAGTCTAACTCAATCACTCTCAAGAACTGGGCCCACCTGAAAGAGGTTAACAAACAAACAAGTAGAAAACAACCCGTTAGCACGAAGCTAAGTATAACGCCACTCAACCCTGTAAAGTACTATAGCATATACTTTTGGAAAATATTTGTCACATACACTTGGATCAAGTATTCT